GGTGCTCATTAGATCATTTCTGAAATAAGGATTACAATGTTGAAAATTCTTTCATCTTCACCTAAAATGTACATTATCAAAAGACCAGTTCAAGTTAATTCATTACAAAAGATCATATACAACACAAAAATTAGTCAAAGAAAACACAGAAGCGGTACAAGCTAAGTTCTTTTTTCTTTGCCATTCTTCTGTGCCTGTACCTGAGACTCATTCGATGTGGATGCTTTTCTCTTGCCTTGTGATGTTGGCTGTGATTGTTGCTGAGTATCTACTTGTGAACTTGAAGATGAACTTGCATCTATCGACAATGATGTTGTGCATGTTCTCCTATTATGGCCCATTCCCCCACATTTTCTACATGTCATCTTCATACCCGTTCTTACATTTTTTATTCCTAAAGGTGTGTCAACTTGTGACCTTTTTCTCATCTTCTTTGCTCTGCTCGCCTCTTTCTTTTTCATGGGTGGATTAAGAGAATGCCTACCAAGTTCTAGCCATAACTTCGACTTCGCATAGGTTGGATTATTGGGTTGTAGGTCCTGATATAAGCTTCATTGATGTAGCATGTTTTTAAGGGATAGAATCACATATCGAATAAAGATAAAAACATAGACCAATTTATAAAGGAATGGGCTACTCCTCTTAAAGTGGTTGACCTTTTAAGATAGAACTCCAAATCTTAACATGATATCAGATCTCATTAAGCTCCAATGAACAATTCGATCAGATTAAGTCTAAAAAAAATAAGCACACGGATTTCAAGATTGGTCTGCTCAAACGAACCACCATTTTGCGGGAGCATGTTAAGGGATATAATCTAACATCGAATAAATATGAAAATATAGACCAATTTACAAAGATTTGAGCTACCTCTCTTAATAAAATTGACCTATTACGATGGAACCCTAAATCCTAACACATGCATCAACGTACTCATATATGCTAATGTTTCTAGAAAGCATACGAGAGATTGCATAAGCACAGGGGATTCCACTAAGCTGTCATTTTCTACATGCACATTCCTTTCTTGCCAAGTCCATACTCCATCGCATACCATCTCTATTGCTGACATCAAACTTCTCACTATCGGCATAGTTTGCCTTCAAGTATCTTGCATCTGACATTGCTTTTTCAATTAATAACCTCTAAATATTTTTCTCTTGTCCTATAAAATTGATATTTTGATATCTCATACATGCAGTCCTCCTTCACTGTCTCAATGAAACTGCTCATGGACAATTTTGAATTTGATCTGAACTTCTGTATGTATTTCTTTGCCAAGTACCAAGCATTTTCTATTTTGTTCTGTCACACCATTGTGCAAGTATGTTCATCCTTGAAGGTGTTAATCCTCAAACTCTTATTAGACTTATGGTGGGCGTACAACTCAAATGGACAATTATTCTTACACCTCACCCTTACTCTGGTTTCTTCATTCTTCACATATCTTATCTGCCTTGCATTCTTTACTAAATATTGTATCACTGCATCCCTCAATATCTTTATGTAGTCAAATCTCATGCATGCATGGAATAGAGCATGTCAATTGTCTTTGTTATACCATTACTACATTGCATTTAAGAAATGAAAACATACAAAGGATCATTACCTATCTGGAATTTTGGGTCTTACATGTTAGTTGTGGGGTTAAACCAAATCTCATTCCTAACTCTTGAGGATGAACCCCTTTCTTCACTGTCACTTGGAATGCTTCTCAGGTCATCGGAGTCGTTTCAATCTATTTCATCACCATCTGCAGGTCTTGCATTGTCCTGAACTTCATCCTTCATATTATCAATGCCAATATCAAGAGGGTCAATCAACCTAGAGAATGCATCTTCATCAATGTCGTCTTCGACAACATTTTCTTCCTGAACATATTCTGGATCACTAAAGTCCTCCAAGTGTCCTTCTTCAAATTCATGGTCCCCATCATGTTGAATTTCAGGTTCAACCACAAGTTCTTCAAGTTCTGGTGCATTATCAGTAGGAGGCACCGTAGGTTTCCCATCACTTGGAAAATCCTCCACCACATTTTCCTCACCAGTTGGTGCATTATCAGCCATTTCAATTGCAGGTTCATCCTCTACAGTCTTTGCTTCAACTTCAACTGCAGGTTCATGTGGAGTATCAAAAACAGTAGGTGCATTATCATCGAGATGCACTGCATGTTCAACTGTATCCTCCACTTCGACATCTGCAGGTTTTTCAACCATATCCACTATATAATCTGCAGGTTCCTTAACTGTGGTCTCCACTTCAACATCTGTAGGTTTCTCAACCTCATCCACTGTATAATCAGCAGGTTCCTCAACTGTTGCCTCCACTTCAACATCTACAGGTTCATCTTCTGCAAGCTCAACATTTCAATAACTGCCACACCAAAATCAGTATCACCTACAAGTTCAACCACTGCAGCCCTACATTTTTCCCAACCTCTTGAGCTCCTGTCCCAATATGAACATCTCCATTAGTTTTATCATCAATGTACTCTTCCACTTCAACATGAACCTCATGAATATAATCTGTGTCTGCTTGCATTCATCTATTCCACATGCACTCTCAACCTCATCCACTATATACACATTACTTATGTCTACAAATTCATCATACACATCCACAACGTCCTGTATATGGTGCCCAAGTTGACAATCATCCTTGCATTCCCTGTTTCTTCCACCTTCTCCAAAACCAGTGAACACAGTTGTAGGTGTTTACGAATATCATCTCTTACATTTTCATCCCATGTCAATTCCAACACTTCGACCACAGGCAAACACCACAACTCAGCAATCCCATTAAATTCATGAAGTCTGCATCCCTCGTCAACAAGAAAGATGCCTCACTAAATCTCTTTTTTTTAACCTTATAGAGATACGTGATTCTTTGGGGATATCTCAACATCCTCAAGGTATTGCCCAATATAAATCTATTAAATCAATTCGGATTTATGTAGTCAAGATATGCTACTTTTCCATGCCCGTGCACAAAATTGTGCATCTTAGCGAATAATATACCATCATGATATATCTTTATGGTGAAATAGGTAGAAATTTCTGATGTAGAACAAATTCAATCAAATTGATTATCAAGCACAAACCCTAGACTCACAGTACATGAATGTATAATGTGAACTCATAGTTATTACACATGTTATGGTATACCCAAATCTATAAATAGTAAAAAACATGCAATATTGCAATAGAAAAAATCACGTCACGGATTAGTACGTAACAATAAGCCCAATTATTTTCAGAAATTTGAAAAAACAAAAAACAAAAAAAATACTCACAAAGATAAGAGCTGAAAAATGGTCTCGTATGTGACAAGCAAAATCTTCAACATTATCAGCAAATTCATGCCTTTCTTCACCAGGTGTTGTAGATGATGACCTTTTTTCTCTCTGTGTGGTAACGTGAATATATGAGTGAGAAAGAATTGGTTACTTTTCAATTTTTAAATCAAATGAAGAACAGTAATTGGAAGAAATTGCCCCTTTAAAATGGTCAATATACTCGTTTTTTTATTTTTTATTTTTTAGGTCAATTAATGGTGTTTTGGACGGTTTCCATCCTAAGGGATAGAGGTGTCAAGACGGACGGGCCGGCCAAACCCGTGAAAATCAGGACCGCGGCCGACCCGTAACCCGTGCAGGCTGTTCACGAGTTAAGGAGGTATAACCCGCGGGCTTTACGAGTTGCATCCCCACGGGCCGCTATTAACCCGCAGCCCGTAAAAAAAATTGAAAAAAAATAAATCAAATTTTTTTAAAAATGACGGCTTTCTCCCCCAAGTACCAACAGCAAGCGTGCCTGTTACAGCAAGTTACACATGCAACGAGCCATGCAGGAGTCAAAAATTTTTTTTTTAATTTTTTAATTTTAATAATGGTAATATCACTTTTTTAAAGGTAATATCATCCCCTTCATCTATA